CCCCAAAACCCCAAAACCCCAAAACCCCAAAACCCCAAAGATGTAGAAATAATAATTTAAATGGAGACCAGTTCAAAAAGTGACCAAGATCATGACCAAGTAGAGATATACGATAAAGATGACCCTAATGGTGTCAATAACCACCTGAAATTATTCCTTAAGTCTAATATTCTGAATTATGGAGATGAGGAATCCTTTGCATTCCAGCAACTTTATGATGAAGAGTCTATCCTCAGACAACTGATGAATGAGCTAGATGAGAGCTATAGCTGTGATTCTAAAGATAAAGATGCAGATAACCCTAAATCTGAAACTATTAAGAGATCTTATAATGCTCTAATCTCTCTTCATGATTTACAAAGTAATATTTTTGAATTTACAGATTATTTTAGGCAAAATTAAACCGGTAAAAGATGTTCAGCACATTAAAACAAGAATAAAGGAACTAAACCAGGGAATTTACAACTTAACTACTAAAGAAAGCCAATTTATTCAAAAAGAAAGAGCATTGATTGAAGATCTTTTTGCTCAAACAGATGAATTCCTGGTGGATCTTACCATTAAATATTTTAATAATTTAAAAATTCTCAAGCAACTAGAAAAGGAGAAAAGGATTTATGTAGGCAAAAAGCTTGATCTGCAAAAGAGACTGATTGAGAGATCAGAACAAATTCTCAAGTTCTCCTCAATGGTATACTTCGAGAGTAACAAGGCCATTTCTATTAAAAAGATCTCACATAATAATGCTCAATTTTCAAGATGTGAGAAAGCACTAAAGGATAACTCGTTTAAAGATGGTATTCGCTTCCAATCTAAGATATTTAGATAAGAAAATATGAGACTTTAAATTGATTGAAGCTTACAGAATCGAGAATACGATCAAACTTGAAGAGTTTGATGCCAAACTGGCTCAGCATAGCAACGGAATTCTAAAAGGTCTCTTCTCAGTCATTGACTGGGACCAAGTTCCTAATTTAGCAGTGTATGGAATCTCTGAAAAATAAAAGCCAAGAATACTATGAGCAGAATATCCTAAGAATTCCGCAAAACTTGATATCCTCATGAAATCTCCCTGAAATAGTTGGGCCAATGCTGAAAGACTCCCAAGAAGTAGAGTTACCTTTTCACACTTCGATCTATTCAACTTCTAAGTTGCTGTCTAAATAAACTAGAGGAGTCTCCTCCAGATATTGGAGAATGTTACTATTTGCTCCTTTCCCGTGCAATAGTGTGAAACAACAACTCAAGTAAGAAACGGTAGTTTGAGGTTTAGAAAATTCTGTGAAAAGAAAGAAATCAGCGAAGTCAAGCCAAAAATCGCCAAGTAACAGCATGCTTAATTTCTTAGGCCAAACAACTGAGAAAGAGTCTGAAGGAGAGAAATTACAGGTTGATTACGATCCAAAGGAAGGCTTATATACACACTATACATATGAAACTGTCTATCCAGAGTACATTTTGATTGTAGAGCCAAACCCGAATCCTACTACACCAGATTTCTTAGAAACATGAGATGTGAAGATAAATGAACTGCAGACTCAGAATGCAGATCTTAAGGTATTCTTCTATGTGTAATTATAGACTCTCCTCAGAAGTAAGCCTTTCTTAGGACTTGGAAGATAACTGGCTAAGCCAATCTAAGTGTTAGAGTAGCACGAGCCCTCTACCAGTGTTTTTCAGTTTGATCTTTTATGTAAACATATTAAGACAATATTCATTTGATGATTTTGTATAGGTCACAAGAACAATTTTTGGAAAACTGTGAAAACTAATGTACAAACCTATCTCCATCCAGAAATCTTGGAAGAGAGAGCATCGATGATGAAGACTTTGAAAACACAGTTGAGTATAAATAAAAAGGAACTTGAACAACAAAAAGTGTTCACTGGAGATTTAACCAGCATTCAAGGATCTAGAAAGAATGGCTAAGGTATTAAATCTCCACTCATAGAGAAGTAAGCATATTCCTTTAACTTTCAATCCTTCAATACTCTCTATCCATGTTTATCATACCTAACAAATCATCTTATAGCAACGATAGCCCCAGAATCCACTCAGGATATATCTATCTTTGTAGAATTTCAATCTTTGCAAACTAAAATGGGGTTTTGGGGTTTTGGGGTTTTGGGGTTTTGGGGTTTTGGGG